TGAATCCTCTTACGTCGGTGGCACAGTGGTTATGGCTCTCGCTGATCATGCACATGGTCCGGGGTTCGATCTCCTGCCGACGCACACCTGATATCTATGGTCGGCCTGCGAAATTTGGGCTACCGATATCCATGCTGAAAATTCCACACTTGTACCAAAACAAATACGGTAGGGAATCAAGCTGTAATCAAAATTTTAAAAAAATAAGCTCAGTCGGTTTCTTTCAAAGCATTGCCCAAGAGCTAGATATATAGTAAGAGCTGGTTATTCTTTTTCTACTACCAGTACTATCCTAAGCTATGATAAAAAACGAAACACAAAACTTAGACTCAGTCTTCATGTTTGTGTTTTTCAACTTGGCAATTTTAGTGGATTCCACTGTCACCTTATCATCCTATGTTCATGTATATACAGAATAGTGAATCACTTAGTTTTTTTAGCTGATAAGTTGTACAAGGTTCTTTTCTAAAATGTGACTAGGCTTTTCCGAATTCATTTGACTGAATAATATATATATACATACATATATATGTATTGTAATGGTAGAAAATAAGAGAACTGGTAATAGAATTTTCTATGACGGAAAAACATATCATATTTATGCATTTTAACCACATTAATAGTCGGATAGGTCAGAGGTCAATGAATTGTTCTGATCGAGCTTAAACATTGAGACAAAAGGTTGTTCAGTGAGATTATTTCATGTCAAAAATGTAAACTAGATCCATATTTGAGGAGTTAACACTTCCGCCTCTGCAGCCATTGTCTTAGTATGTTGACTTCAATTTTTGCCGCTTCCCGTCAGTCTGCATCTATAATACTACTGATGAATATTGTCAGTAGCAACCAAAACAACATATGTAATATGTCGTCTATGAATTTTAACTTAGTCGCAATTGGACAATTGGATTGGCTTATTCACCGATCGACTTACTTCTATGAAATTATTTCTAAATGCATCTCATTTACCATATTCATTATTAACTAGGGTTGACACACATAAGTTCTCTACGTTACATATAACTATTTATAAAAGTGAAGTTGTCTAAATGAGAATTTTGTCTTTTATCGTTGTAAATCAAAATTCATGAGATGAGTATATATTTATGAACAAAGTAAGGACTAGGAATTAGGTAGGATAATATGAAATCATTTTATTTCGTCTATATTCATCTGCTGCATACAATCTAAGGAAGTTTTAGTATCAATATACAAAATATTCACATGCTTTGACCAATTATTTAAAGGTGGGGTATCTATCAATATTAAGTAGTCAAATGTACGAAGAGCTGAAAGGAGAAAACAATACGATTCAGCAGGCTTGTTAGTATATTTAGAGAAGTTCTAGAAAGTTCTTAACATGTAACAAGCAAGATTATAAAGTGTTTTATTCCACCAATTAAGTTCATTAGCTGGTCAATTAGCCTGTTGATTTATATCCATCGCTCAAGTACAGTTAGCAGCATCAGCTCCACAACGAGTTATCTTTCATCCGCGTGTAGTCTTTTTCCACCCCTAGTCAACTTGCAGCCTCTGAAAAATTGATTCTAGTGTCACCATAGTGAACATCAATTTATAGTTTACTTTCTAAATTGACGAATAATATTCAGGTATATAAGACTCAAAATTACTTTTTATTGCTTAAAAATTGTTAATTATTAATTTGAGAAAGAAAAATAGTGGTCATGGTTTTTAGACCTGTGCAAATTGCTGCAAATGTACGATATTCCTAGAATGCGTACACTCTACTTCGATTTTCATATATTTAAGGTGTATATGCGAAGCAGAAACAGGTCTGCCAGTATGCCAGTTTTTTTTAACACTGCTATCAAGACTGTTAACTTAATTTGACCTGTGCGTCGGTGGCACAGTGGTTAGGACTCTTGCCAACCATGCACATGGTCCGGGGTTCGAGCCCACGCTGACGCACACCTGATGTCTATGGTCGGCCTGTGAAATTTGGGCTACCGATATCCATGCTGAAAATTCCATACTTGTACCAAAAATACTGTGTGGAATCAAGCTGTAATCAAAAATAAAATAAAAAATAAACAATTTCGAGCAGTTGTGCCCGTGATCAGCAAAGAACGGCAGCTGATAAAGGTCATTCATTTATTCAGACATCTATTTCTGAATTTGCATTTTCATCTTTCAGTTTAGCTGACAGTTTCCGAATTGTCCTGTCAGATGTTAATTGCTTGATTTTAGCAAGATGATAGAAGGTACTACTACCAATTTATAAAAACAATTAAATGAATTCAGGATATCATTTATACTGCCTTCAGTCTATATTTAGCAGCGATCTCATCTATAGTTTATATTCTGTCTAATTAACTATTGAATAAGTAATAAACATCTTGTTCTTTTATTTTATCCTACGGAATACAAATCCTTTATTTCCTATTTATTTCTTTGGCAGAGACTTTAAGCCCTGTAAGGACGCATATCATACTGATAGGAACTAAGTGACCGCAAATTAAAATAAATTATTGAAATTCATCTAAACCAAGCAGATAACAGGTCGAGTTATGCGTCTGTTATGGTACAATTGTTAGCATCATCACCCCATCAAATATCCACTTATGAAAAGTATACTCATCGCAAAACAGTGCTATAAAGTAGATATTCGATAAATTTGACTTCAAATACATATCACTATTTCCTAGAGTGCTCCTATAAGGAATTCGCATTTTCCATTTTTTGGCTTCTACCTAGTACATATAATGAATGAAGTATGTTGTTTCTTTGTCACTTACTTTTCCTTGCAGACGATAGAGTTATCAGTTTAAAAACTGAGTTAGATATTTGTAAGTGATAATTTTAGCGGCAGCATCAGGGTTATAGTTATGCAATCAAAAAGCAATTGTGCTGGGTAAATATTAAATACACATTTCTCAGGTATCGTCTAATTTTAACCTCTTCCACTTTGCCCAACTACATACTTGTTTGAGGAGAAAAAACACTAGTTTAATGTCTACCGAGTGAATAAGCAACAAAAAAAATGAAATTCAGTGCATTCTTCCGTGTTTTATTTCCGATATTTTTTGAACTCTAACACTTTGCTGAAAATGTTTGACTGTAATCATAGGGAACCTTGGCGAATTTTAATTTGTAAATATGTTAAGTAAGAGATATGCGTAATACCAAATTTTTCAAGTTTCCCTTCTCAAACTGTTGGTTGACTTTGCTATGGAAGAAAATGTGCTCAGTCTCTACACATTCGTACAGAATTTCACATTTTTTTTTTTTTGATTTACAGCTTGATTCCACACTGTATTTTCGGTACAAGTATGGAATTTTCAGCATGGATATCGGTAGCCCAAATTTTGCAGGCCGACCATAGATATCAGGTGTGCGTCGGTGCGGGCTCGAACCCCAGACCATGTGCATGGTCGGCGAGACTCCTAACCACTGTGCCACCACATTGTAGTACTATCTATTCTAAAACCATCACACAGGCAAATACACCTTATTCTTCATGTCCATAGGATGAAGAATGTTGATACTCCAAGATTAACCCACACAGTTTGATTCTTTCATAGAAATCACAACTAATCAAATATCCTGCTAGGTACTATCATCATTCCACCAGTGCAAATTACCAATTATATACCAATCAACAAAGTAAGCTAGTCAAATTTTTAAAGAATGTTAACAGACAGAAGTCTGCTGAAGTAATTCCCAGCAAACTCCTGTCTGTCTGAAGCATTTTTTCAAGTTTTCTGACAGTAGTACACTGGTTTATCTTTTCATCACAAAAAAGACATACTAGTCTCAAGTGTTACTTTCAGTATGGTGAAACACTTTCTTTAGCCACTACTTTCCCACTTTTTAAGATATGCTCGTCGAATAAAGTGTTTGAAGACGTGGAGTAAGCAAACGATCGCGACTCATTTCTGTAATCAGTGTCTATTTCATCAGCTACAAAGCTTACTTTAGAAAATCCAGTCTTTATAAAAGACAACTTGCCGCGGATTTCTCTTGGTGCATATGCCTTTCGGGGATAATTTCATATTCATGACAGTGATGATCGGCAGTCCGTTGAGTATTCAGCTTACCTTTTGTAAAGTATATTCTTAGGAGTGACTAATTCATAACATCTGAAAAAATGGCTGTCTTTAAAATCAAAGCCTGAAATAATATTTTCATGCTTTGACTGTTCACAATATTTTTAGTCCTCCATATTAAAATTCAGTATTACTTTATAAATAGTTGGGTTTTATGCGTCTTTCATACTCCTAATATCGTAGGATGACATAGTATGAATTATCATTTCCAGGTAGAGTTAAACCACAAGATGAATCGGAGGCGTTTCATTTTTAAAAGGATGATTCAATGTCGAAACTTGAATTTATTGTATTTTACTCTGTATAATTTAAATTTTTGAAATTTCCACACTAGTTCACCTAAGGTCGCTATGCTAAGACTAATTAAGTTGCACTTTAGGACATTTCTCCTTTGTTAACTCTATGGATAATAGACCAGACGCTGAGATACTGTTGTTGTAGACGAATAGTACAGTTGGACTTTTATAATTTTCTCTTTTGATTTATTAATCCTGATCAATACAAAAGGTCTTCTCTATGTCTTTATCTAAGATGACCTAACACATAGAGTGCTTAACTGATTATAATTACGTTAGATGGATGTCTGGATGAAATGAGAAGTGTCATAAACTGTAATATCGAGAAGTCAAATTCCAAGGTTTGAAAACTGGTTGAATGACTTTTAACACTTTCCCAGCAAGTGCTTTCTATATGCACAAAGATGTTTCATGTAATGCTGTTCAACATTATCCTACTGAAGGACATTCTCCCTGTTTGAAGTAGTAAGTGTCTGGTTTCATTCTCGGCTATAACATTATCATTCTCTTAAATGTACGCAAACCTAACGAATGAATGTCAGATAGAACTAGAATCGTATCACTCTTAGCATTTTAAATGTTCAGATAGATACATACTCAGAGCTTTGTATTTTTTGTTGCTTACTTTTTTTTCTAGATGTGACCGAGGTCATATGGCAATTTATGGAAGCAGATCGTCTATTGGTGATCAAATTATTCAGAAACCAAAGTATGAATATTCTCATGAGATACTCCATTCGAATAAAGAACCTGATCATATCTTTTGTGATAGATTAAATGAACTAGAGTCAATTACAGTTCGATCAGGATATCATCACTATCCAATCAATGGACGACATAATGTTCTTGTGATAAGATTTAATTCAAGTGGCTCTGACCTACCTGGTCTGAGTATGAAATTTACTTTGAACTATAGATTTAAAAAAGGTATGTCATATCTATTCTTTCCATAAAAATTATTTAAACTTCAGTTATTGTTTATATCCAAAAAAATGAAATGATTTAAATAATATTCCATGTTTTTACTTGAGTACCAGATAAGCGAAGAGTTCTCAATCTTTATCGTGACACATAGTTTACACGTGCGAAATTCTGTTGCTGCTCAGGTTTTTCATCACTTTTAAGTTCTTAGTCTTCTTCTCCGTATCCACAATGAAAATTTAAGAAGTAATTTGAACCGAGCATGGTGTGAATTCCCGTGTTGATAGGTAAACTGATGTTTGGTAGGCCTAAACAAAAATTCAAATATTGTATGTTTGATGTCGTATAATGCAGTGAATGTCAACATTCCTGATTCTTGAAAGGAAGACGAGTGATTACTGTATAAATCTGTCTTGAAATCATGGAGAGGATTCGCTGTTTAGGTGGATTGTTTGATTATTAAGAGACATGACTGACTTTTAGGAAGCCTATATATATATATATATATATATATATATATATATATATATATATATATATATATATAACAGAGTTTGTGAATATTTCATTTACTATGGTTAGAATCCATACTTAACTCGACTTGAATTAATTGGCTGATTGGTGGCGTCCTTGTAGCCTAACCTGACGTCTTTGAGTCCATTACTTTGTGGTGCTGCAAGTTTTCATTGCGGTGTTTTGAGATTACGTAGAAACAACTGCTCACTGACGTCTGATATTTGGCTTGCAGCTGAATCTGTGATGAAATTAAAATTTAATGTGAAAATCCCACTGTTGTGTGTAGAATTTCAATAGATATACATCTCATACGATGTTATCCTTTGACCAACTTCATCAAAGCAAAAAGGAGAATAAGATTCACAGTATAAGATAAGTATATTGTATTTTCTCTTTGTCTACAGATAGCCTAAAATATACATAGTGTCAATCAGGTAAAAGCATAAACAGTTTTATTCTATTCATATACTCTTCTCACCGATACCCTTCTCAAGCTGAACAATCACTCATATCTCTCGTAAATTGTCTAGGCAAAAAAAGAAATGTTTCCAAGGATTTATCATTAGAATAATAAATTCTAGATACCAAATTTCGTTAATTAATAGAATTAAACAAGTTGAGTGACGAAATCTCATTGACGGGGTTGAAAAGAGCTCAGCTAAAATTAAAATCTAACAGAAGTCAAGAGAACAAGATGGAGCACTAAAAAGATCCATCTACAGAATACTAACATAGAACGGACAACTCACTAACTTTCATAGTTGGGTGCCTCTACATACAAATGAAACGTGATCCGTTCACTGAGCCACACAATCCACAGCATTTTCAGCCCTGACACAATTGAAGAAGAGGTGAACACTCTGTAAAGAAGTCTCCTCAAAATGGAAACCATGAAACCTAAACCACTGGAACTGCTCATAGTTTGCTCTCTCAAAAACTTATCTACTTGAATCCACATTTCAACTGAACCTGTGATTAAATCTTCTGCATGTTTGATGGTTTCACACAGAATTTCGGACCTAGACGTATGGACAGTGATACCAGTGGTTCTACAATTCAATGGAGACTCATCGGTAGAAATACTGAGAAGCCGTCTGTCCACTGACTGAAGAAAACATTCTTCATAGCTGAACTCCGATTAACCTTCTCTACGAAACCAATGATTCGCATGAACCTGAAGGCTAAGCTACCACTGTTGGCTTCATCAATATGCATCGAGCAGTTAGTACACCTGCTTGTGTGAAGATAGGTATGTCGACCGTATTCAGCGTTTTTTATCCAAACGTATCATCGAACACTTACCCTCATGGTTTCGTAAAGGAGAACAATCTTCTCCCGAATGTCTGTTCTGATACACATGATCGAATAAGGCCATCAAGCACACCACAAAGTATCTTCAAAGTTATCTAAAGAAAGCGAGGGAATCTCGCTAAAATGATGTGAATCAGACTTCTTGAAACTGCAGAAGAAATGTCAATTCACTTGTTAAATCCTGAACTCTGCATACAAAAGAAGTTTGTTCAGTGATTAAATCTCTGGGAGCGAACCAACCAGGAACCGATTGCGAAACAAATAGGCAGAAAGAAATGGAGATGGATTGACCATACACTGAGGAAACCAACAAGTGACATCACTAGACAAGCCATTACTCGAGTGGAGCTCGAAAGGGAAGTGGCGAGTTGGTCGTCAGTGCGAGGGGGACTTGGAGGAGGTCATGTGAAGAGGAGATGAAAACATGTGGGCACACTTGGAGCCAGGTGAAAACTCTAGCAGAGGACCGAACGCAATGGAGACGCGCGGCTGAAGCCCTATGTCCCTCTAGAAATTAAAGGAAATAATAATATAATAGTAGCTCTCCAGTACTCCGAAATTTTCCAGTGGTTCTTTAACCGATGTCAGCTCATGATGAAATCCTGTAACCAATCTAATGATAAATCCTTAGAAATATTCCTTTTGTTGCTAAGACAATTTACGAGATAAATATGTGATTGTACAACTTGAGAATGATATCGGCTGAAAGCCTTATGTTTTATTTTATTCAGAGGAAAACTAAAGTAATGATTGTAGTTTAAGGAAATAACTATGATGACATAATCAATCGCAATTAACAAGGAAGAAAAGTAGTAATTTATCGTGATTTAATAAGATCACTGACATGTTTCCAATTGTTGCCGAAACATTACTTGACCAGCGAAATTCAGGGAAGATGACTGCATAATATACAAGAAAGGATGTAGTGGTTACGCGGAATCAGTTCTTTTGATGTAGTTGTGTTTTCTGAGCTGGATGGTTTATTTGTGAATCATTTACTGCTCTACTAGGCAACATCTTTGGCGCATATACCTTCAATACCAATATAAGCAGCCGAAAAGATGCGAAAACACACAAAAGCAACCAATGGCTTCAGAGTTACCAGGAGAGATGACTAATGAACTCGTGGAGAAATCGAAAAGCTCACTTCAAAATGAAATATGTGCTGGAGATGTTACCTAGTAGGACAATGAAAGATTCGCAAATAAGCTATCCAGCTCGGAGAACACAACTACATCAAAATTATCCACCTAACCTACAAATCTTCTCCGTCATATCGGAATCAGTTGTGTTAAGGTCAGATTGTCAAAAAATGACAATAATAATAATACGAGAAATAAGACGACAGAATACATAATTATGTAATAAGTAGAAAGAATTACTACCGAAGTAAATTGATACCATTCCTGTAGTTTCCCTCCTGTATATATGTTTGTTCGTTTTGAGTTGTTTGATAGCAAAAGATTCAACAAACTGGAGTGAATTTGGGATTCTCTACGTGTCGATAGTGGCGAATGAGGTTGAATTTCCACATTTTGTCCCGGTTCCATTAAATGTCAGTCAGTTGCAGTAATTATATAGTTTAGTTGTCTGTTAACAGTGAACCTGAGGTTAGATAAATAATGAAGACTTATTAATCTGAATAGGTATCATTCTATGGCATGTACATAATCCAACCCTGTAAAGAGTTAGTAGCCTATTTGTAAAGTCATTAACATATCGGTTGTGACTGATACAATTATACATTTTTCCTGAGATCACAGATACACCTTAAATTCGATTTCAAATGACTGAGTAACCATTATTTATAGCCAAATGCTAATTGAGCACCAGCATCTTTATACAAAACCTACATCATTTGTAATACAGAATGAATTATGAGAACTGTTCAGTTACCTTATATACAAATGACTAAATATAATGTAATCTTTAAGATTTTGAGTGGTTTAACGTGTATGTTACGCAGGATGGAAATATTAAAACTGGTTCTGTTAATATTTATCTTTTTTCTTCTGTTTACTTTTGTTGTATTGAATCTGTCATTTTGACTAGATTTTGGTATTCCCGGTACAATGATCAATCCTGGTGGTTGTCAGTTTTTGTATATTAATTCTTTCGACGCAACAGTGTCTACCACTGAAGCTTCTTCTTCTTACTCTTCTACTGCTTCATCCAAGTTATTTACCTCTCAAATGAATAAAATACCTCCTAAAGGGTGGACTAATTCGCCCTTATATCCGAATGATTATTCGCCCAATTCAGATTGCTTGTATATATTTACACCACAGACTGATTATCTTGTTGATCAGTCTATCCGATTAGTTTTTGAAACCTTTACAACTGCACATAGACTACAGATGAAAGATGTTTTTGTAAACATAACAGAAGTAGAGAGATTTCAGAATTGTCATGAGGTGAGTCTCTTTGAATTGAAATCAATTATATAGTTAACAATTAATAATGATAATGGCTTTATTCCAAATAATATTTTTGATGCAGTGTAGAATTTTAAGCATCTAGTTCTCTTCACGTTGCGTAGTGGGAAGGAAAACAGTTTCAAAACTTTCTAATACTTTCAGTAGTAGTAATAATATGCAACTATCAAAATAAATTATAAATGCATGGGATTAATGGCAACAGTACACTGATGGTGGGAAGAATATAGAGTTGTTTATTTAATGTTTCTCAGTAATTTGTTGATTTTATAACTAATGCATTTTTCACAGCATAAATTTTTGCCAATCAAAGTGTTGTCGAATTTTCCTATTTCGTCTTTAGTTGTATTTTAAGTCTACATTACTTTTGAAACCTTTAATTCTACAATTTGACACCGGGTATTATACAACACAGGTAATGAATAATGCTTTTCTACTAAAAGTACTCATCACTGAAACACTTTCATCTACTCAGGAATTCTGGTTTTGTTTGTGGTGATTATAAAAAACCGATCACCAAAAAAATATGCAGAAAGAAACGGAGATAAATGGGACATACCTTGAGGAGACCACTGAGTGATATCATGCTCCCAACCGTCGAGTAAAACCCGGACGCAAATAACCAGTTGGACTTCCTATGATAACATTAGGGAACATGAACGCCTATGTACAATCGTCGAGCCAGCTAAAAAAAAGGGCTTTAGATGACACAGTCAAGTGCAGATTTGCTGCTGAAGTCCTATGCTACACATGGAATCCAAGGGAATAATAATATTCTGTAAGACGGTAGATTAGTATGATCCGAATAGCTTAAAACTGTTTCGGACTGATTTGTAAAGATATGCAGTAGAGTTCGCTGACTGACATTCCAATCTTACATTCAGTCCACCGATTATAACAGTGAAAAATCAGTGTCAGGCGAACAAAAGTTACAGCATATCATCAAGTGAGAAACCACAAATTCGAGAAACTCTACTTACCTATCCGGTCTTTGATGAAAAATTTAAAGATACAAGTAGTAAATAACACATCGCCATCATCTCATTTCATAAGAATTCCAAAAACTCTAACTCGCTAACTAGAATTAATTGCTTTCAAATAGTAAGAAGACTGTAGCTTTAGGTGTTTACGCAACTGAGGACTAATTTATCGTATTACTTCAACATTACTGCTGTAGACTTGAATATCGATGATTATTCAAAACATTTTGGTAGTTTTAAGTGTTGGTTCTACGAATATTTCGCTCAGCAGTGTGATGAGCAAAGACGAAACTTCTTACGTCTATTATGTTTCAGTTATATATTTGTGATTCATATGATGTTAAAAGTAAACCAGCCAATGGCCGTAGTACAGTGTATCATTTCGTCCAGATACTTAGCTCACAGAAAGAACTAAAAATCTAGCGTATTTCGTTTAACCAATTATAAGGATTTGACTGCCACATCGATTAATGTCCACTGACTACTCACTTCTGTAAGAGACAGTCTTGGTCTGAATAACCACGTAACAAGGTCTCTACAATAGTTTTAGACGCCTAGTTGATACGAGTACATATTGTTACAGAATGAAAGTTTGAGAGAAAAAAGCAAGTCAAGCTAATATCTAACATGATCCACTGGAAATATGCAAACAGTATCATTATCACCACAAGAAAGATTACAGAATGGCTGCTTCAGAAGTAAGCTGCACCAATATATCGTACAAAGATTCTTTCGCATACACCATGAATTTTTTTAGTAAACATATAGTGGTGTCATTTCATCATGAAATCTATGCTCCAAAACTTTTGCCACCAGATGCATTTCGCTAAGTTCATCAAATACAAACTTAGCTTAATCTATCTTATATCAAGTGTAAGTTCATTTTTTCCGCAAAATACTCCTGCAAAATATTTCGACTTGAATAATAAATTTTCTCCTGCTGCTGGTCTTACATTTAGACGACCTTTACGGTTTCTTCACACTAGCAATTATCGAACTGACATTATAGTAACCTTCTTGACATATATATATATATATATATATACGCACACAAATACCTCCGGACACTCATCAGTCTATATATGTCCACTTATTTTCATAAAACCAGTCACTACTTTCTGCCTGACATCTAACAAATTTGAGCAATCCGTCAAAATGTCGATCAAATATATTTACTATTAATTTCTTTTTAGTCCTTAAAACCTATCGGTTAGGTTAGATGGTTTTCAAGAAAATGCAAAGTTTATTTCAATGGAACTTCAACCCTTATTTTCAGGATAATAATTTAGGTGATATTGAACAGTCGATCGCAGTGGAGAAAATTTTCTTTTCGAAAAATTCATCAGCTAGGTTGTACATCCATGTATTTATAGTAAATGGGTGAGAAAGTTCCAGAGCTATATCAGGCCAAGGGTCAAATTAATCAGATTCCAAATAAGGATTAAAACATAATAATAATAAAATAAACAGAAAGATCTGATTGTGTTATTATTGTATTTTAACCCGTATTTGTAATCTGATTAATTTGACTCTTTTCGCGAAATAGCTCTGGAAGTTTATCACCCATTTACTATAAATACACGAATGTACAGCCGAGTTCATGATTTCGTCGAAAAGAATTTTTTCTTCTTTGTAATGATATTTTTAATTTCTCCTACAACAATAACTTGTTGGAAGTAGGGTCTTTTGTTTTAGAAAACTACTTTAATTGTCTACATGTTGATTGACTGATGTCTTGATGACCTTATGATGTATCCCAGCGATTTCATCATGTATTTCATTATATCTGAAGTCTGGAGGTAGCTGGAAACTCAATCTCTCTTTTCATATGTGGAAAGACAGTTTATGTTCAATGAGGAAATATTTCTTTTCAACGGCTTCTTTTTCAAGCTGTACAGTAGTATTTATATTCTGGAAAAATGACAGTAAGTAGCACTAAAAATTGCTCAGTCAGTACGCGATGATACGAATAAAGATAGTTAATATGATTTTCAGGAGGGTAGAGTTGAAGTGGACAAATTACAAAATTTGAAAAGAATATTAAATAGATGAATTGGAATTAAGATTTTAAAAGCAGGGCAAATGTTGTCAAAAGTTGAGAGTATGATGAAAATAGCCATGAAAAAGGCGAAGATAAAGTGAAGTGGAATGAATTTCAGCATTAAACTATGAGATAAGAACATTGCTACAACCAAAGTGAAGAAAGGGGTTTAACACAAGATTTTTGAATACAGAATTTAGGCTTTTGTCCATGTGTAGCTAGAGCTTCAGTATAACTATACATCAGTAGAGAAAAAAGTAGACTTTTAGAGAAACTCAATTTGGCCATGTATATAACTTTAAAAGACAAATCACATAGGGCTGAATGATCTGACTTGAGAAACTGTTCATAGATAGAAGACTTCATCATCCTATACCTGTCTTTCATTAACCAAAACTAATTATGTTAACGGAGAAAATGCTTACAATGTCATCTGTAATCTGTTCCACACGAGCATACACATATCAGTGGACATAGGTGGTAGTTTATCCTTCATGGATTATCGAATCATGTATCGGCTGGAGAATATTAGGTGTAAGTCAGTGGCATTGAAACAGCATTTCAAACTGTTGTATAGCTTGAAAATGATGCTGTTGAAAAGAAGTATTTCTTTACTGTGCAAAAAACTGTTTTTCCTTATGAATAAATGGGCATATTTTGTGAGTCTCTGTAGTCTCAAACTGTTCTCTGAAATGGTCCTTTCTTTCACTTCTACTACCGATTAAAGTGAGTGCATGTAAATACTCAGTTGAATCAAGAATATCGCAGAACCTTTTAATCTCATGAATGAATACCTCTTGAACTTCATAATAGCAGGAAAATTCATCCGACTACCGTTACCTAGATGTCAGATAAAATGAATATCAAATTTTTGAATCACTTAATTGGGTTCAATGAGCGTACTGATTGTCCCTCAACGGTTTCTAAAGTCGAAGAATTCTAACAGCTATAAACCAATACAATTCAGAAATACGTACATCTTAACACACTAGGCTAGAGGTCAATGTTTTATGATCAGTGGGTAACTAAATGACCATTCAAACCATGGTTTCTGTTCATTCCTTCTTATACATTTTTTTTTCCTTCACGTTCCCAATGGAACATAGGGCTTCAAGCTAGTGGCTTGAAGTTTCTGTAGCAGTGTTTAATTTTTACAGGATGGGGTTGCTAGCCTCATTCCCAACCTTTCCTCTTTACCAGCATTATTTCTGGCTCAGTGAGGTAAAGGAGTGCGCCGGCCGGGGATCGAACCCCGGACCATATGCATGGTCGGCGAGCGTCCTAACCGCTATACCACCGACGCACCTTCTTATACATTACCTAATCAATAAAACAGTTTTCATAAACTATATCTCGAATTTCTGCAGCTTAAGTCAGTCGGCTATTAGAAGCAAGCCAAAGTAAGCGTCTGGAGCTTAGATAGTGACTATATATTCTCTGTCTATATCGTTACATTTCCAAGATATATAAAAAATCACATCATATTCGAATATCAACAATTTGTTGTAAACTGACTTCAGCAACACTCTTCCCTAAATAAAGGAGGACAGTATCAATGTGTAACCTAATTTGACTGGATCTTTAAAATTAACTGGACTATTGTACAAATCAAAACGTATTCTCTGAAGAGTAATGTTCAAACTTTTCCACCGTGAATATATACCTCATGATTGGTAAAGAAGATTAAAGTACAGAACTATACATGGTAAAACTGTTACTGATAGTTAATGAATTTCAGTGTTCTGCTTCACTGCGTACTAATGCTTTAATGTTCTTATTTCAGGACTTTCTTGAAATAATACAACTATACATTCCATTAAAAGAAGAAGTGATGAGTGCATTAACTTCACGTGTAAATTATCCATCTACGCTTGAAAGATCATATGAGGCATGGATACAACGTTGGCATAATTTAGAAAAAGAACTACAAATCTACCTTGGAACAAATCAGCATATATTAGAGCCTACAAGTGTATATTGTGGAAGTTATGTGCCAGGTCCAGTTGTTTCAGATACGTCAGCTACCGCTATCCTAATGCGATTTCATAGCGGACAGAATACTACCTCCAAAGGTTTTACACTGACCTATGAATTTCTACCGAAAGCACTTCTCAACCCAGTGAAATCAAATGTTGCAGATAAACCCGGTAACTTGTTTATCGCTTAATTTCTGTTATTTTGTCCATCATTTCACATTGTTATTCCTTAAATGTGTTATTTAAGAAGATCATACTAGGATGTCCTACAACTGTGTTTAACATTCGATCTCGTAAGTATGGAACGGCAAGTCTTAAGAACTACTGCATATAATCAAAATTCCACAGCTACTGTTCACTAGTACAACTCATACCTACCTTTAGGGACCAGTATATGTATGATTTATATAAAGGGGTAAGTGATCAACATTCTTTCCAAGCAAAGAGTTACTCAATACTTTAGTAGAATGATATTTAACAAAGAGTTTTAAATATCCAGCCTTCTGCAAACTTAAACAAATTAATGCTGACAGATAAAAAAGGAATGTTATTACGAATAGATAACATGTGGATTGGAAATTAGTCCAGATAAATCAAATGCAACATACTACAGGGAAAATACACCTAAGTGTCTTCATGCATTTATTCCCCTTGGTGAATTTGAATAAAGCAAGAACAACAGTGGTTTGTGCAGAATAATATGGTACCATCATTTATTTCGTCGGCTTCTCATCACCTGCTTACATGCTAAAAAAATTATGAGGTTTATGTACAGAAAAGTTTCAACATGCTTTCAAATTTTACATGTTATCAGTTGACAGAAGGTTCCACAATTAGTGAACAGTGCTCAGACACCTAATTGTCTTTTCATCAGTTAATGTCACTAAAATTATTACTTTATGCTGTCAAAAAAGTACTAAGTATCTATTTAATTCATACAAAGAATCAGTGTTTTCATCATTAAATGTAGTTATTTGTGAATTTTCTACTCTTTAGCTTATTTTTTTCTTGTACCTCAAAACACTACTTGATCTGCAAAACCTCTTCATTTCGCTTAGGAAGAGTAGTTCTCACTTTCTGTTATTAGGTTCTAAAGAGTAATCGTAAGAGTTGAATATAGTTCTTAACTTCAATAAAGATAATCATTTAATAAGGCAAAACAACAACATAGAGTAATGTTCATTTCTTGTGAGTGCTGACTTATTTTCTCAGTAGTAAGTAATCATCACATGAATATGTAGCTTATTTTGCAAATTGACTATGTCAGACTTAAATGATATCAACTGTTTTCTTGATAAGTATACGACTTACTACTTATCAATAAAACGAAGATGTCAACAAAGAAAATCTTTTCGACGACTTCATTTTCATAGTTGTACGACCGTGTATGTGTGTGTTGCAGTTTGACAGAGACTGGAAATACTAAAGTATGATTGTACTAGTGTATATGATTATGAGTCACAAACTGATTAGATTTTCGGATGAATAAAGTTCAACAGACATGTATGAAATAGAGAATTTTCTTCGCTGAAATATTTGTTTTATATCTTAATGGGGATTATTAATTTGCTTATGAATATTTTGACCGAGGAGTTGTGAAGTGGAATGTACATTCCTGATCTTTTTTGAAAATTGATCTTGAACAAAAGAAAGTAATCTGTGCCAGCACAGTTGCACATCTACATAAAGATTAGTTGTATATTAAAAACAGTTCACACTGTTTTCTGATCGTTATTGACTATATTTCAATGTGTCTATAATCCTAAATACTCTGCTTAGATATTGAAAATTACAGGGGTTTCTGTCTATGGTCACGAAAGTTACTAATCTTTTTTTCACCCATCTGTTTGAACTGGTGTAATCATCCTAATTTATTAATTCTCTGAGACTATGCATTACTTCGGAGCGATTTCTCCTAATATTTACTTGTATCAGTTTTTCTACCAATAGTATTCCCCATAAACCACATGGAAATTGACTCGCCGTTTAGGATGAAAACAAGTGAAAACTACGAGCTCTGTGCAGCCGTTTTAACCAAGCCTATAGCTTGATTATCTGTGCTAGACAGAATCATTTCAGTTTCATCGTTTTAAATGCTTCAAATCATCATTGAAACAAAAAATTAAAATTTTCATTTCTGTTTAGTATTCTGTTTTCTTTAAATATTTACCCTTAATGATAATAATGATAAACATAATGATAATAACAACAATATGCCAACTTTAAAAATGTTACATTAATTTGCTGTAGGAAATATTTAGCCAAGTGACGAAGAATTAGGCTGAAGCAGAAACGTGCTGTTACAGTTTTTGTGTATTTATCTTATTTTATGGTATTTTTTTTTCATCTTGCAAAGTTTGCTTAACTTTTTTCCCTAAAATTTCTTGATTTTCTTTTAGCTAGCGATAATAATAATAAGGCTAAGCAAATGAATAAATATGTGGCAGGTGGTTTAATAACATCACCAAACTACCCAAATTCATACACGAATGGTTATAATCATGAGTGGTATATTAAAGGAACCCTTGATAACAGTCGCATTCAACTTCAGTTTAACTTCTTGGAATTGGAGGGTTCACTAATGAGTAAGTTCACCTTTATCAATACACTTTTGAGAATGTCTTTACGTTTCGAATGGAAAATAGAGTTTCAAGCTTGAGCTTTAAAGTTTTATTAGCGTCGATGTTCTTTTTCTAGCTTAACATCCAGGCTTCCCTGTTTACCAGGCTTACTACAGACTAAGTGAGGTTTAGGAAGGCGTCGGCCAGGAAAAGGACGTGGAACACGTGCGTGGTTGATGACCATTATACTACTCACTCACTGGTACAGTTTTTTAGATATTGTTAATGTGAAATCGGCTTTTTTACATTTTATATTGATGATAATCAACTGATGTCATTCAGGAGTGGGCACATCAAACAACGCGGTCTTCCATTATTGCCCATATTTCAGATATGTCACTGTTAAAGTCAGAAAATCTTTCTACCGTAAATACTGGTCACCTGGGATAGAAGGTTTTGTTGTGTTGAATTTGGTGACTCAGTTTTGTTAGAATTTGATGGGTTGACAACATAAATCGTAGAATATGGTCTTGATTAAATGAATTAACTTGATTTATTTAATGGACAGAAGTGGTGGAAGGAATTTATGATAGGACAACTGATCACTGATTTAATTTAATATAGAAAATACTACGTACTTATTTTCACCCCTAATTACATAAACTAGACCCTCTGGTAGCTAATTTAGTATCTTACTTTAGTATTTAATAGGACGCTTAACTAGGTAATTCATCAGTATGTAATTAATGTACACGAAGCTATATCTATTAGAGTAGACTGAATATCTCTAATTCCCTTAATACTGCTCAAACTCTTGCCTTACAGACTTCATCAGAAAAGCATAGTGTTGATGGCACGTTCTAAAATGACTTCCACCAGTAATTATCACTAAATTTCATGTGTTCATAGATGAAATGCAAGTACGTAGTACATGAAGGATAGAATCATTCCATTACATCCCATAACTGATTTCGATAATCACACTAATTATCCGTGCAATTACTTTTTGGAGTCGATACTTCTATGGGTGAATGTTCGCCAACCACACACACAATCTAAGGTTCACTTTCCAGCCGGTGCACACCTGAAATCCGACTAGGTTACTAGCCTATGGTAAGCTTAGAAAAGTGTTCGGTGTAAAACTATCAACCTCATTCCATGAAAACAATACTACTATTGCCAATGAATGCTAATGCAGGTTGAAGATGAGGCAGTAACTCATCGAAGAAGACATTGCTGAGTGGTTGCGCTATATCGTGAATTGGCAGAAGTTAGAACTCAAGGACCATTGGATCAGGTCCCAGTGGCTCGCCTTGTAACCAGAAGGTCCTGAGTTCGAAACCCTGTGATGGGTCGGTACTGATGAAGAGTCCCAAACTAGGAAGAAACAGCTGTCCAGTACTCCCAGGTTTTCCATAGGTTCTCTAACCGATGTCAGCTCATGGTGAAATCCTCTATGCAATCAAACAAAATCCCTACAAAACCAATACTTGAATCTTTAAAGCTTGTAACTCTGTGTTCCACTCAGAACGCCGAAGAATGAGCGAAAAGTGGACGTTTCCTCTTATTTCACATAAAATTTATGAGTGAGAAATAAGTTTATTCCACAGTTCTGGATATTTAGTCTTCTTTTCATGAACTTGTGAAAGCATTTTATGTAAACTGTAAAGCTTGAAGCAGTGTTTCCTGCAGATAAATAATTTGTAAATTACTCAATTAGCTGAAATCACAAATTCAGATGTGTAGCACTAATAAACCATAAGCTAACAAAAATTACATTAAAGAATATAAATTTATGGCAGATATTATCCTTACTGACGTGTAGATTAGGCTAAGCAAACTCAGCATCAAACCTGTTCAGCGAACACTGATTATATATATGATAGATATTTACACGGAAAAATATTCTTTTTCTTAAATCAGCAGTTTTTATTTTTAAATCACAGATTGTTCAAGAGCAGTCCTTCGGATATACGAGGGTCACAATCCTAGAAGTCTTTATGAGTTTTGTGGGAATCCTAGTGAGCTTTCTTCAATTATTATATCTAATCCTGTAGCAAGAGTGAAGTAAGTTAATTATTCGTAATAAAAATGTACTTCTTTCTAAGCCTAAAAGGAATGATATTCTTTGATACTATACTTTACAGCCTTTTAGTCAGAATTATATACAGGCCTACATTTATCTGAGCATCTCCCTTTAGCATTGCATACCAGTAACTGGATGGCTAAGACAAAAACAACTGATATTAAATAAGTTTACACAGACTTCACCTATGGAAATTCTTATCTTTCTTTTTTCCATATATAACGTGGCCTTCCATCTTATTTTATTATTTTGTGATGTATAAAACACTGTTTTCAAATTAAGCATTTTAAAAAACAATCATCTCTCTCCAACCTAAATCAACCTTGTAAGCTTGAATTTCGGGGTTTTTCTTTCAGTTAACTTCTATCTGCGTAAGTGGCTACTTATAATCATTTACCTTTCCGTACAGGGGTTGAAGAGAACAAGTTCAATTTCAACACCTATAAGAAAAGAAAGACAAGGGGATAATGGAAATTGTTTTTACCTTCATGTTGTAAATTATTATTTTCCGAAAAAGAATTTAAATAGAAATCATAAGAGCACTTTGTCTGATGAGTATAACTATCAACAAGTCTTCATTTGTAATCACTAGTTAAAATTCACATGAGCATGATTTCCGGGGATTGATTTTTCTTAACAGTAACTACTGTATTACCTGGTTAGTGAATGTGATTTCACCATATACTCTTAAGAACGAATTTATCGAGCACTTAACTCTGCATCTGAAAGTCTGCTACTGAGCATGAGACTGCTTTAATACGTTTGAGGGTTGTAAATGAGATAGAACTTCTCACATTTCTGGATGTAGAAAAAAGCAAGTAATAACGGTGTAATAACACTAAAAGTCCTCCAGAATAAAAATTTTATATGAATGACAAGTGGATTACCAAATTAACAGTTTTTATATTCAGTTAAATGTCCTTGTAGTTAAGGCTCAGCAAACATTTACCAAACTTATTAAATAGCACAAACCAAAATAAAGGAGAGGGCTATTTCTCGATTTATCTTCTTTTGAAACTACTTATTATTACTACTTATTATTAAACTAACACTTGAAAATTAATCTGATGCCCACTAGCGACTGGCCCTATTCAGGCAGTTAACCTGGAGTTCTAGTGGGAAGCCGTGACCAGTAGGGTACAGCAGGTCGAAGATGAGGCAGTAACTCATCGAAGAAGACATTGCGAAGTGGTCGCGCTATGTCGTGAATTGGCAGAAGTTAGAATTCAAGAACCATTGGATCGGGTCCCAGTGGCTCAATGGTCTACGAGCTCACCTTGTAACCAGAAGGTCCTGGGCTCGAACCCCTGTGGTGGGTGGGTACTGCTGAGGAGTCCCAAACTAGGAAGAAACAGCTGTCCAGTACTCCCAGGTTTTCCAGTGGTTCTCTAACTGACGTCAGCTCATGATTAAATCCTCCATACAATCAAACCAAATCCCTACAAAACCAACACTTGAAAATACTTATTATAAGTTTACTTATTTATTTTAATTTCGCTGAGGTGAATATCCTCACAATTATTATAGTTGACCGAGTACACAAACGGACTTACACACACTTGAGTAAACATTGTCTACCAAAGGCGTAGAAGCAAGGGTTAGGAGGTGGATAATTCAATATGTGTCATCTGGCTTCCTCCCATATCACTTTTAATTCTCTTGTTGAGATCAATTTTTTTCTGTTTTTCGACTTAATAATGTATTTTTGGACTGGATTTGTATTAAATGCAAATGATTACAATGTAAAGATAGGTGAGATAAATCGCTAACTACTTAACCTTAACCTATAATGAACTGTTCACATTGTTCCGTAGAGCGAATGGATTAGCAAAATGATTTATACAAGCAATAAAATCTATTTGTAGCGTGTTCGGGTCACGTGTCCTGATGAAATTTACGAATTCATTAATTGTGATAGCTTCATTAGAAGCCGGGTTTATTTTTGAAAAGTTAATGTGTTTGCATGATGCATGTGGAATAGTCTAATCACACATTTACTTGTCAAACAAGCTTCGACTGAAGGCTTAAAAGAGGTTCTTATGAACACTTATATTACACATTGACAGAAAGAATGCCTGAAATTTCTCATCTGAATGTTAAACAGTTTTAAGTGGAAATCACGAACAAAACCTCTGGAGCCTGAGAATATTCATATCACAATATGAAATCTACTTAGTATTAAAACTGGTAACAAGAGCCGAATGATTTCCAAATACTCATATTAATCAATCATATATGATATCTTACAAAAATAGTACTTGTTTGGAAACATGAAGATTTCTAATCGAGTATAGTAAAAAGCTTTTATTTTGCAACATCAAAGTGTGCTTTATTTAATTGTGACTAAGTACAATTAACATGGTAATAGCATTTAAACAACTAACAGAGTTTTTTGATGGATTTATCTTTTTCTAAACTACAAAAATAGAATGCACACAGCGACGGATGCTTCTGGTTCTAAAGGTTTTGAGTTGGTTTGGACGGATTTGCTTCCAAATGATCCTGAAAGTGAGTTTAAATGATTTTCTTCAGCTTTTTAGACTGAATATTCATCTGTCGATAATTTGCTTTCCTATTTTTAGAATGATGAATCATTTATTTTCTGTACAATAGATAATTGTGGGGAGGAAAATGCCCCTTTGTATTGCATACAAAGGCTAGCCGTTATAAAACATTATATATAGGAGTCCTATGTACTCAAATAAATTAAACGACGTGTAAAGAATGCAGTAGTTAAATGATGTCGAACGCATAACTTGATAACAGAGCGAAAATGTTTTTAGAAAATAACCCAACAGACCACAGTTTTGGTTAATGTTCAGAACATGGGCAATTTACCACTCAGTCAAAATTTAATAATTACATTAGATATTCAAGTGTTGGTTTGCAGGGATTTGATTGGTTTAGGATTTCGCCGTGAACTGACATCGGTTGGAGAATACCTGTTTCGTCCTAGTTTGGGACTCTTCATCAGCACCCACCCACCACAGGGGTTCGAACCCAGGACAAGGCGAGCTCGTAGACCATTGAGCAACTGGAACCCGATCGAACGGCCACCCCATGAATCCCGACTTCTGTCAATTCATGATACAGCACGACCACTAGTCAATGTCTTCGCCGAGTATTAGTCCTCACACCCAACCTGCTGTACCCCACTGATCGCGACTTCTCCCTAGAACCCAGGTAACTGCCTATTTGAATAGGGACAGTCTCTAGTGAGCGTCAGATTAATTACAGGACTTTACCATGAGCTGACATCGGTTAGAGAGTGACATTGTAGTCTGTCAAAGGTAGAACAAAATTAATTAACTAAGTCTCATGACATACTGGAGTCGAAAGAGTTGTTGGATATTGTTATACCATGAAACATTGAGGAAGATAAAGTTAGGATGTTTAAGTACATGCATCCCGCGGCTTAACGACAACAGGTTTAGAGAAATAATTTTTCAATGGTGAAAGCTTAAATACTAAAGAAAAGGCGTTAAGCGAAGAGCTACTCTTTTCCTCGGCATCATTCTCAAGCTATACAATCTCATATATATACGGAAAAATAATATACTTAAAAAAGACAAAAGAATTACGCATCCAGTATTAGCACAGATTAGGCTCATAACAGGTTCAGTGACGGACACAAACTAAATCTGTATTCAATGTTCGAGATTTAACATTTGGATTACCATCGCTTCTGTGGTTTTACAAATTTTTACTTCGTACTCCTTTTGTCCCTATTAGAATTTACCAAATGTACGCAATTGTGCAGCTTGAAAATGATATCACTGTGTTGCTCATAATGATATCAGTGTATTAACAGGGCTTTATAACTTGCTTTGTATAGAGTTGAGTAACGCGTCTTGTTTTTCAGTGTAATCTCCAAATAAACGGTATGACCACAGCGTCATTTCGATTGCATGTGTTCGGTGTTGATTCGATGAGTGAAGGTTCGGGAACGAATCCCTTTCTTTCTTTCTCTCTCTCTCTCTCTCTCCATTTAACTATATCACTTTCTAATACTTTTACCCTATCTCAGTCTGCTACATGATCTTATGTGAGTGAATACATCGTATCACTGCTTTATATGAAACAAAATTATCTAATATAAAAATTACTACGTTTTATAAATTGCTTATATATATATATATATAATACTACTTACTAAATTACTCATAATCAATTAACCTGATAGAGATAATTATCATAGATAAATCCAAATCAAAACGGGTATGCATCACTGTATTATCATGCACTCACGTAAATTGTTTGGCTGGCACTGTTGTTGTCAAGTTAAGTGAAATTCGAATGAAGCAGTAAATGGCTGTATTCCATACTAGATAAGTTTATTTAATATAACTCAGTGTAATACATTAATTATACGTGTTGTCTTTCTCTTCGGAGACTAATCAACAAATTCATACAACTGTAACAGACAGAAGGATGGTTTGCAAATCATGGTTATTTTAAAATTCTACGCTCAAACAGCTGGCATCGTATCTGAATATCTGTGTAGAAGCGTCCCTGTTGTAACAAACAAGGTTAAAGCAACAGGAGAACAGTTCAGTAGACTGTATTTAAGAGAGAGGAAATCCACCGAGCTGTTAAAGAACTATCTACCACTTGCCAGCCCCTCAAATGTAATCTGAATGGGAAACGACGAGTTGGGTATCCGAGTGTGACATACAAGAGGTCGTGTGAAGAAGAAATGAGAACATAGGGAGCTAGATAAAGAGGACTGCAGAAAAATGGATGAAACGCACATGTGCCGTTGAAGTTTTGTGTTCCACTCGGAACCTAGAGAAGCAATAAATCATGATAAATACCACGAGATATGGGAGAAAAAAAGTAAAATCCGAACTCTAAAAATACGGTTAGAAACAAAGATTACGAAATCCTACTCGAAACATCAAAAAAAGGCAATATTGGCTGCTCTTAATATACACAGAAATACTCAAATTAAAAAGGTCAACAAACTGATTATAGGATTTCATCATGAGCTGACATTACTTAGAGAACCACTGGAAAACCTGGGAGTACTGGGTAGCTGTTTCGTCCTAGTTTGGGAAGTGGATTGGACTGGCCATACTCTGAGGAAACCATCAAGTGACATCACTAGACAAGCCATTGCTCGAGTGGAACCCGAAAGGGAAGTGGCGAGTTGGTCGTCGAATGGTGACTTAGAGGAGGTCATGTGAAGAGAAGATGAAAACATGTGGGCAGACTTGGAGCAGGGTGAAAAAGTTGGCAGAAAACCGAAGGCAATGGAGACGCGTGGCTGAAGCCCTAAATTCCTCTGGGAATTAAAGGATATAATAATAATAAATGATCCAATGTGTATATTCCGTGACCCAGTATTTTTAATAAATACTGTATTGTTGTGTTACAGCAAATAGAATTATCCAATATGGAATAATATTCTGCTACAATGCCAAAATTCTGCTCATAGATTAAATAGTGATATTTGCATTCTAAGCAAGTAATTTATTAATTTTGTAAGAACTCTGAAATGTCCAGTTGTTTACTGATATACCGAGCAAATAAAATCATTCGTTACGATATAATCTATTTTTACATTAACGGGTACAGTTTATGCTGATGCAACCTTATGAATTCCAGTAATCCATCGCTATTTGTTAAGCCTCTGAATTATCTGGAAAGGTTAATCACGTTTAAAAGAACAGATTTTATTCATTAAACTTAATAATCTTCATTCTTCGTCATCTTTTGGAGATTCTGTGAAATTTCAGTACCGCTGATGTAATTTAATTAAGTCGTTTTCGCAGAAAAAAACTCCCAAACTGTTCCTGCACAAGTTACCATTGTTTCACTGATTTTGAACACAACTCTTTTCATCAAACTTGTACGTCCCATATAATACATGATACTATATTCGAGAATGATGTTTGAGGCTCAAACAAAATCTCACTTGTAGAATCATCTGCATAAGAAGCCGTCAAATTCATAGCTGACTAAATTTTCAAGCAAAAGCACCTTGTAATTAGATACCAGTCGGTCAATGACCACTGCATAGAAGTGTGCTAGTATTTACATGGTTAAGGAGTTTCAGTTTAGGGAAAAATATTCTCTAAAATGTTCAGTTTTTTTTGGGGGGGAGGGAGGCAGCTTTTCATGCTGTGTGAAAGGATATGACGAAAATAGACCACTAATTGCGTTCACGTTTCAAATATCCCTAAATTTTAACTGTTTTATTACTCAGTAAATAACCTGAATAATTCCAATGCGGATGACTAAGTAGGGGCTATGTTTTAGAAAGGTCCACTTTAAAGAAAAATAGCTTAAGGAAAGCCTTTCTTATTAAAGTTTAATTCCGAGCTGCATAAATTTCAAGCAGCAGTATATTAAATCAGCAATTCATTGCCATACAACTGTTCTTTGCTTCAAATCTTCGACTAATCAATCTTGCCTAAAAAACTGCAGTAAACAGCCTAAATGAAGTCCTAAAAAATCCGCTACAATTACAATAATTTCAACATACTTGATTTTCTGCACAATAAATTATGATTTCTTAGAGCCTGTTATACTATTTCATAGGTAAAAACAGGATTTAGGTAAATCGAATATTATGTCACTAAGATGGAATCCGATTATCCTTCTGTTCTAACTTCCGCCAGTTCGTGACCACAAGCCATTATCATCAGTGAGTATCTCTACTCATACCCGATCAGACCCTTTGCAAACCAATATTTGAATATCGGTTTACTGCTCATTATTGACTGACTACAGGATGAAGTTACCTGAAGTCCTAGCGGGAAATCATAGTCCGTGAGGTCCACCAAGTTATGCGTGAGGACAGATACTTGCCGACAACACTGACTGGTGGATGCGTCGTAGATTTCGCATGGGCAGAAATTTGAGTTAATGGACCGTTAGATTCTGTTCAAGTGGCTGAATAATCAACGAGCTCACCTGGAAACCCGAAGGTCTTGGGTTCGATACTTGGTAGTGCCATGGGGTGTGTACTGATGAAGAGTCCCAAACGAGGACGAAACACCTATCCAGTACTCGCTGGTTCTCAGTAGTTCAGTAACTGAAGTCAGTTCGCGATCAAACTTCAAATCAATCAAATCTCTGCAAATCAAAATTTGACAGTTATCTGTTTTAGCCAGATATTATGTACCGATAGTCAGCTTACCAAAACTACCCACTGTAAATAATTTTTTGTGGCTAGGCTGTAGTAGTAATCTAGCCACAAAGGTCTTCTAAAGTATTCAGTATTGATCTATTTTCAGGATGACTTACTAACCAACAGACAACTGTCAGTATTAAGCTCAAGAAACATAAAAATATCTGATGGGTGTGGTTAAGCAGAACAGATTATTTATAACAAAAGACAGTAATGTAAAACAGTTAAAAAGGCACTTTCAAATCAGTGACACGCCTGTTGTTAGAAATCCTGTTGGATTTCCAGTATTAATTAATATTAGAGTTTCACAGAGGGGAAAGTAAGTGTTTCACTACTAAACGCTATTTGCACAATAAGAAACTGAATCCATCAACTATTCATTCACATAAATATGTAGTCATGAAAGGTTAAACTGTTCAATTCCCTGGAATTCGGCTGTCCAGAATGAAGGCTATAAGAATATAGGATCTAGACAGAACTGTTTGCTACTTCTCTCGAAGACAAGATTCTAAAATTTTGTACGAAAACAAATTTATGTTACCATTATATTTATCGTCACTTTCTTTATTCATAGAAGTCAGTCCACTAAAGTTACAGTATGTCAGATGGTTTATTCAGTCATTGACCAATTATCGCTGAATAAAATTTATGATTTATGTATATTTCTTAAAAATATACTAGTACACAACTGCTGAAAGATATGCTATCAGTGTTACAGTGTACAAAGAATCTTTACGAGCTGTAAATACTCCTCTCCTCCCCCCCCTCGGACTCGGACTCTTGATTAATGCTGTACCAAATCTAATACTACTTTGCTTTTAGATAGTAATAATCAACTGTTGTACAACAAGCCTACTTTTACTTTATCCATTACTATAAAAACAAGAGGAGGTATTATTTTGCAAGCTCAGATTAGAATCCGTTAAAAGAAGTAAATGTATTCGAGGATATATACGACTGGTGCTTTATGTTTCCCACTGAATATTTCAATTTAACATTTTGCATATATTTAGTAGGAAAGAAACATTTTCATGTTTTAAATTTCTTTCACAGTTGGATGTAAAGGATTTCTGTGTGAACACACCAGTCATTGTATATACAATGATCTAGAATGTGACGAAATTCCAAATTGTGGGATGTATCAAAAGAACGGAAAATGGGTAAAAGACGAGTCAGATGAAACGACTAATTGTAAGTGTTCCCTCTAATTTTATTTTTTATCACTCTATGTTACTATTAGTATTCATTATGATTCACATAAATTGAAGTGAATGGGAAATTTGAATGTAATAATCATGAGAATGAACTGCATTCACTCTACATTCCTTTAACTAAAAACTATTATGAACTTATTTCCAAGGTAACAAAGGTTAATTTGTCAATAAAAAAAATCAGAGAATTGTTAGCAGATTGACTGATAAGTTTATCTAGACATGTACTTTTTTTATCTTCTAACCTTAAAGGACATCGAAAGAGACGTATGATATACAAAATTACTACATAAAACCACAGACACTCGCTAGGCCTATGGATACAACTTCAATATTGAGCTGTAGTTTATGCGTTAAGCAAGGTATTGCATAATTCCACTGATAAAATCATCACAGCAACTACCAGTATTCATGCACTTATTAAAGACCTACTATCTCTGATACACTCTGAAGTAATGATAATAATAATAATAATAATAATTGCTTTATTCCAAAAACAGTACTCATGATACAGCAAGGAATTTTCAGCATTCAGTACAATATTGCATCTAATTTACTCAAAGACGACAAAAAAAAATTAAAAATACACAATACATAATAGTAATAAAACGATTGTTATAGCAGCTACGTAGCAAAATACTGTGTGCCATACGGAGAAAAATATGTATAAAGTACAAAATTGTAGTAATAATAGTAATACCAACTAATATAAAATAGCAGAGTAACGATTTAAACGAATGATGTGAATTTTATGATTATTATGCAATTAAATTTTGAGAATTATTGCCAGTGATTCACAAGGCAATATTTTATTTAGAAAATTGTGTTAAGAATTATCTATGCTCATCAAAATATGAAATGATATCTCAAATACTTTAGTTTCAGTACTTCACCCATGCACGCATTTCTAGCAAAAGGGCAAGGCTTGCTTTTGACAAAAAAAATTTTTTCAGATGCACAAACTGAGTAGAAATGGATTGTGTCAGTTTGGTAGTTCCATCATTGGGGGTTTTGTGCGAAGAGAATTCTACGCCATTTTTAACCCGATTTCGCATGCAGTTGAGTTTAGTATATTCTATGTGAGGATTTTTACAGGCACTTTTTTCCTACTTTTGTTTTTGAATACAAGATTTGTGAATTCAACAGCAATGTCACATTGGAGTCAACTGGTACTAACTTCTTTTAGATACACTTATGTGTTCACTTTATTGGACTACACGTAAAGCCTAAATGCGAAAAATCGTATACTACTGATTGATTGAGGTGAGTAGTTGTATACTTCTCACATCAACCAGTAGTATTTGCCAGACACACAGACCGGTGTTTAGATCACTTTGACCTGGTCAGAAAATACTACTGTGGTGAGTGGTACTTATAATCGGAGATGAGTAGTATATCAGTAAACGAATTCAGAAAAGTAACATTATGTTTTGGGTACTGGGAAGGGCAGTCTAAGGAGAGAACTGTGAGTAGAACATTACAACATTGTGCAGAATCCAACAAGCTATCGAATGTCGTGATATTCGACCAATTTGCAAATGATGTGTAAATAAGGACTTAAAGATAAGGTATGCCAAATTTATCTACCTCTCACAATAAACGTTGCTTTCGAGCCTCATCTATCTTTTCTCCTTTACACTACTGGTTGATATAAGTAGTACACAGCTGCCCACCTCAATCAACCAGTAGTTCATAGCTTTATGCATTTACGCTTGATGTTTTGATTACCATTCATGGTATTAAGCAGATGAAGCTACAGTGAAATCATCGCCTCGAGCTATGCAAATTGAGAATCAGTCTGCAAACTCAAAATTCGATAAACGCAATGCCAATGAAGTTTTTCGGACAAGTTGAGCGAATTAGAGATACATTAGTTAAATCCCAGGGCATTATTACTTTGTATAAGAGATCCTGTTCGTCAGTCAGGTCTAGATAAAAACTACAAACTCAACAAATTGATCATACACTTACGTCCCTAGTTCAGTCGGTTATAACATAAAATAATATCAAAGTTGTTATGACTACTAGAAGTGACAAATACGGTTTCATGGAATTACTAAAATACCGAAAATAGCACTTTCACTACATTACACATCAGGCCAAATGAAATAGACACCTGCCGCTAATCGTATCATACAAAAATGAGAGATATCATGATCCAGTCAACTCTAAGTAAAAGCGAGCTACAAATTAGTCAAATGACAAACTGTATAAATCTTGCATTGGATCAACTGACTGTTGAGTCAGCACACTACTTTGCACAGAAACGCTGGGCTTTATAAAAAACATAAAAGAGGACAAAAATATGACGAGACAACAATGCATAAACACGGGCATGGGGATAATAATTAAATTTAGGTCCAGTGAATGTGTTCTGGATCTGAAAGATGATAAAGAGTGAATACGTTTGACCTACTAGGAAAAATTCTCATCCATCTTACTTAAATTATTCAGTCACTGCATCTCAATATTTGTGCATGATCATTACACTCACTCAATATCTTATAAACGACTTGAGCTAGTGATTTGATATTTACCATTACACCACACAATACTCAACATCTTTTGTTATATAATAGAAGTAAACTTATAAGCTACTGACTTTTTTAAAATTTTTATAAATGATACAACAAATCAGTGCGTGATTCAAAGTAGGTAATGTAAAAGGTATTTAGTACTATGCTCATTCAGAAGTTTTTTGCTCTAAAAACTAACTAAGAAAAATAAAGTATTGGTAAACACATCGTTTCCAAGAACATACTGACAGATTCTGTCAATGGATCTCAGTGCGATTGATCTAATACTAAAGAAATCATCTGAATTACTGAAATATTTTAATTTCGCTAAAGGTAAATTTTTCAGACGGTATATATTTGAATAAATGTCCAGTGTTAGTCTAAAGACGGAGAACATCTTACTGATCTAATTTACACTTTTACTCTGCTTTTTTCTATGCTATAGGTTCATTTGGAAACAGTTACAATCTAGCTCATATTGGCACGGGCATACTATTGGCTTTGATTTTTCTTCTTTCCATAGCCTGTTATGTTTATTATCATGAATACAAACGTAGGAAAAATATGCCATTGGATCCTTTAACAGAGTTAACTGGTTCAAAACACTCACTAGCATTGAATCAATCTACTCAAAAACTGAATGCACACTGTTCAAACAAGAAACATCAACTGCATAAGCATCACAACTGTCAAACATCTGGATTACTGTGCGATTTGTTAACTGAGAAAGAAACTGATGTCAGTTCAGTAAAAAAGCATCAACATCATCGTCATCATTATCCGCATGCCCAACATCTGTCACATTCGCATCAAATCCCCTCACATACTCATCCTCACCGTCATCACCATCATCATAATCATAACAGAAAAGTGTTTGAACAGGGTGGACACTCACATTTAGTCAATGCACAACATGATTATCATGGAGCACATTTTCCCTTGGATAATCAACATGATCATTGTCGTACAAACAGAATGAGTAATAAATTGCAACAAAGGACTCCATCACATTCAGGATCACTAGTGAGAAATGGTGGACGTACGGTGGTACCAGATTCTTTACATAGTAGTGCTGCTAATAATCCAGGTGGATTACTTGTTGCGGGAACTGGGACTAATCTATCAACCAGTATGGATGGAGGTTTACTTATCAGAGAAAGAATGCAAAAAATATCGATAGTTTGATTTCCGTAAAAGGTAGAAATAAGCAGCTGTAAATAGATTTCTAATGCGTCTTCGTTATTATTTTAAGTTTTTACTTATTACATACAGTTTTGATGTAGTCAGATAGTGATATTATTTATTGTTACTATTAGTTCTAGGTATGAAAAGCAAATGTCTTTACAAACACTATACTATACTGATGCCTAATCATTCCAATTTTTGTGCGTGCTGTACACTATTCACTGAACAAATGGAGATAACGGAAATTCAAGATTACAAAATGTATGATAACCTCTGTCTTTAATTTCTTTTTCACTTGTCCGTCGTCTTTGTAAGTGGTATTCAGATAAGTCTGTTTTTTCCAGCAGTTTGGAATTACGTATTCAAATTTTAAATGCACATTTCTAATTTCCAGCGTTCTTTTTGTTGCAATTTCAATCAGTTCAAATTGCAGTTTATATGTATATATAAACATGTGAGCGACTTCCTGTTTATATTCATTCTTTAACTGCCTGTAAATATCTCAGTGAAATCTATTCACAAAATATTTGTAAACTAAATATTGCTTTGTATAAAAGCGGAAAATACACGTGGTGTTTTCTCTTTCCCTTTCCTAACACCGTCAATCTTACTTGTTGTTTTCTTACTTCTGAACTCAAACTACTAGAGGTGACATTATTCTGATGAATTCGGCATTTGAGAATTTTTTTAACTTAGAAATCGCTTATTTCTAAGCCTAGTGTGTTTTTGTGTAATCTGATACGTAATTAAATAAGAAATGTAAATTTTTAAAGTTCTGTGTCAGTTGACAGAGGTTTCATCCGACAGGAAACTAGTATATCTAACATAACATCAGCTAGGTAACTGTATAATCCGTGTAAGCCAAATATGATTAGAGGGCAAATACATAAGATAAAATGAAAAAAATTCTGTGTTGTTGTATTATTTAAGTTGGATGGTTTATTTGCTAGGCTTTCGTAGTCTTTTAAGACAACACATAACACATCCATCTCATTTACACCTCCTTTCGGGAAGTTTAGACAGAAGAAAAATAATAATAAAAAGGCTGTACGATTTGATTTCTATAAACAGATTTAAATCGTCAGTATCCAACAGCTTGGCTAGTAATTTGTTAGTTTGTTTTCATCTCGAAAATCGTCCCTTTCTCGCTATGACTTCATAGTTGTTATAACTGAGTGTTAACTAAACAGGAGGTGCCTAGCTTGTATCTTTTGATTTCAAGGTTGCTTCTCTTATAAACCACTATTTAAAAAACCGTTAAAAAAGCCAAGAGCACTAATGAGCTACTTAGTTTTGTTTTGAAACAATTTATTAGTTCACATCTACAACTTTACCATAGATTCATTTTCGAACAGTTTACTATCTACCCCATGTGAAGTGATCCAGCTCTAGGCGATTTGAATTTCCTCTAAATAGTTACGTAATGGCAGGCGGATTGTAATCTGAACAGCTTGCAGTAACATTTTATCCTTCACGTGGATACAGTTAATTCCTTTACTCTTCACTGTTATGCTTTTCTTCGTGTTGAATTTATACCTTATTTAATAAGTCGTTAACCTATAATACTTTCAGAAAAAGAATAAACACAAACGCCATTGGTTTCCGGTAATTTCTTTAGGATGTAAAGCTATAACAGTCAGTAAAAGCAAATGGAAATCATATCAGAAACTGTGCTAAAGTGCAAGTTATTTGGTTTTGATTGTCATTTGAATATATAAGCTATACAGTCGGTAAGATCAAAAGATAAAATGAGATTAAACAACTGAGTGACGTGTTTGTATATTCATAATCAATTATACTATGGGTTGCAATGAGTGAGTAGTATTTAATGGTGTGAGAAGAAATATAACTATCGCAAAAGAGGAATATTCTGAATGTAAGTTCGACAGGTGGAGGATAACAACAGTAACGGTAAAATAAAGTAGTCATAATGTCACGTCTAAAACTGTCCCTCCCAATATTCAAGTTGTACTTCATATACCCACTTTACACTTTTGTGTTAATCGGGTTTCATTTTGAACTGCTGTACATTTTTTGTTTGACTGGACACTTTTGTCGACTGAGAACCGTTTTGTGTTCAACCACTGTGGTCTTGGTATTTGAATGCGGGATAACCTCATAACTGAAGCTTGTACTTTAATTAGTTGCTACAGTTTGTCAAATAGATTTGGATTCTGGATTGAAGATGGCCATTTTGTATCTTCTTTGAGAATTATTCATGCACTGGTTGAGACACATATACTGTTATTTTTTCAAACTTGAATGAGGAAACACAGGAAGAGATACGCCAAAAAATTGTACCAATGGTCAAACAGAAAAAACAACACACACAACTCAACTTTCAAGAGCTAAAGGCCCTCAAAAAGCTAAAAAATAGGAAGGACATCCTCATTCTACCAGCCGACAAAGGAAGAACAACAGTAGTCATGGACAGAGAAGAATACACCAAGAAAGCTGAAGAACTACTCAAAGACGAAAATGTATATCAACAACTCCCAACAAATCCCATAAACATAGCACAGCCGCATCTAAAGGACCTTAAACAAGCTCACCAAAACTGGACAGATCACAAAACAAGACCATTGGCGAATGAAATCCAATGGACCAATCCTACCCCGATTCTACGGCAGACCCAAAATACACAAGCCAAATATCCCGTTACGACCAACCGTATCACTCCCAGGAACTCCAACATATAATTTATCCAAAGAATTATACAGAAAACTATAACACCTAACAGAATCTTGTGATCACTCCATCAACTCTGCTATTCAATTCCTAGAGAAAATCAGAGGCATCCAAGTAGATGAACAAGAAATAATGGTATCCTTCGACGTCACAGTATTACATACCTCAACTGGACAAAAACTAGCAAAAGAAACCATGGAGCAATCACTTAGCAACGACGAACACCTTCCATAACAATCAAAAATGTAACACACAAGCTGGATGTAATGCATAAATCTATGCCTAACAACATACTTCCAATTCAACGGCCAAATATATGAACAAGTCAAAGGAACACCCATGGGATCGCCAATATCAGGTTTGATTGCAGAAGCAGTTATGCAAAGACTCGAAAACATGATTCTACCAAAGATCAAACCTAAGATTAGGATACGCTACGTCGACGACACATTTGTAATAATCAAAAGAAATGAGTTATATAAAACTCACAACTTAATAAACAACGTCTTCAACGACATCAAATTCACAAGAGAGGAGGAATCCGAGAACCAAATCCCATTTTTGGACGTCTTAGTCAAGCGAAGGACCGCGGGGGAATTAGAAACTCAAGTTTATAGGAAATCAACTCACACAGACCAAATCCTGAATTACAACAGCAACAACCCAATAACACACAAAAAGAATTGCATACAAATACTATTCAAGAGGGCAAGGACTCATTGCAGCACTCCCACATTAAAGAAAATTGAAGAAAAATATCTCATGGACGTCTTCCAAAAGAATGGGTATCCACGGAATTTCATCAAAAGACATATACCTCCAAGCCAATCTATCAAATCAAAAGCCCCCAAGAAAAGCACAAAGAAAACCGTCGTACCATATATAAAGGATATCTCAGAAATCACTGCAAGACTCTTCAAAATTTTAGGAATTGACGTCGCACACAAACCAACAAAATCACTTCACTCAGTTCTATGTCAACCAAAAGACTCAGAAGCGAAAGAAGATAAAACCAATTTAGAGGTTGACGGTATAGACGTTCGCGAACAGTACAAAGGTATATTAACGCAATTTCTTATACTGACAACTTCTAATATATTTCAATCTCGCGTACCAAAGCAAAAGACAGTATTTGAACGTCCAAATTACGAGATATATTTCAGGACCAAAACGAGTTGTTAGACAAACGCTTAGCTGGTTAGTGATCGTGCACGCACGTGACACGACGGAGTACCAAATGGCCGGGATGCTTGACCGAAAACCTTCAGCTAAACAAGTCAACTTAAACAGTGGTGATCAGCATCCAATGTTCAGTGATGATTGCTGTGGTCAATAATTTTGGGGGATTATTTACCGTTACACCAACATCATCTACAAAACAAATTGTAACAACTTCGAAAAACACTACATTGGCCAAAGTGGACGTCCCCTTTGTCTTCGTGTCCACGAACATAAGCTAGTTGTCAAAAGTCATGATATCCACTCCTTCATCTCACTACATACAGACAACCACGGACATCAATTCGACTGAGACAACGTTCAAATATTAGACAGAGGAAACAACAAGAATGCTAGAGAATTTTTGAAAGCTTTGCATTCCGGTGAATCATCAATCAATAGACACGTCGAGATAGATAAAATTTATCAACTGATAAGAAAGAAACCCCACGCACACAAAGGGTCAAAGTTCAAGGCCAAGAAACAATCAGTTCCAATACAAGTACCTAGAAGGTGTGTAAACACACAAAAACAACTAATCACGTGCAAGGTCACCAGGATAGATGATTAGAAAACTCGTGGAGAAATCTAAAAGCTCACTTCCAATTGAAATATGCGCTGAAGATGTAGCCTAGTAGGGCGATGAAAGCTTCGCAAATTAAGTATCCACCTGAGCTACAAATCTTCTCTGTCATAACTATTAAGGCTGGTAGGTGAGTCAAACGATCTGAGCCCCTAACATATGTGAAAAATTTCTAGAGACACTGCAGAGCGAACAATTCTAGAACTAAATGCAACCAAATGCATAAATTCATTCGATTCTTACAGAAACACAAATTTATCAGAAAAATGGCAAATATAAATAATATATGGGTAAAGTATGCTTCTGGTTTTCAATTTTGTCCAAAAGAGAAGAGATTTTCACTTCTTCTCGAAAATAATTTACATTGAGTTACATTTTGGTCGGGTGTTAATTAAGAAAAATGAATATACCGACAGTGAACCTAAAGACTGCAGAAATATGGAATTAACACTGCACATCTTGGTGAGTCAGTCCTTTCATAGGCAAGCCATACCCCCGTTAGTATGAATCA